CCCGACCCCCCTGCCCCCCACCGCCCCCCGCCCGGGGGAAGTCAGTGCTACGTTGCAGGAAGAGGTGAATGAATGGGGAGCTGAGGTCTCCAGCCATCATAGAAAAGGATCCCCGAGCTGAGCAAGCTTTCAGAACACTATGACCTGGCAGACACTGTGACTATAAACTGAGGCCCTGAGCCAAGAGCATTCCAAAGCCACCCCTGACTTCTGAACCCACAGCAGCTGTGAGGTAATGTTTGTCTTAAGCAACTCCCTTTGCTGTAATTTGTTACATGGCAACAGATAAGCAATATCATAACTGATGTTAATACAGATCCAGGCATGGGACTAATCTATATCTGAAAATACAGGGCAGGCTTCCACTAAAATTATTTTAAATTATGTGTATGTGTATCTGTTTGTGGCCATGTGAGTGGTGAGTGCAAGTGCCCAAAGAGGCCAGAGTATCAGATCCCCTGTAGCTGGAGTTACAGGCAGCTGTGAGCCACCTGATGTGGGTGCTGGGACCTGAACTTGGGTCCTACAGAAGAGCAGTACATGCTCTTAACCTCTGAGCCGTCTCTCTGGCCCCCGCAATTTAGTTTTATTTTACTTTGTCAATGTTAAATACTTCATTTTTAAAAAAATGATTGATTTTGTGTGTTTTGCCTGTAAGTATGTAAGTGTACCACATGCGTACCGAAGAAGGCATCAGATCCCCTGGAATTGGAGTTATAGACAGTTGTTACCTTACCATGTGGGTGCTAGAAACTGAACTGGGGGTCCTTTGCAAGAGCAGCTAGTGCTCTTAACCTCTGAGCCATCTCTACAGCCCCCGCAATTTAGTTTTAATCATTTGTCTGGATTACCATGGTCCCATGTCTATGTAGGCTGTCACTTGTGAGGAGGGAACACCTTGGGGGATTCCCAGACCCTGGGGTCTGCTCCTTGTTTCGTTCTTTAGTGGTCTTGGGAAGTTCCCAGGGTTTTTTAAACTGTAACCTCGCCTTGTGATTTCACTGGGTTTGACAATCCTGGAAGCCCCATCTAGCTCGGACATTATCTTATTTATTTATTTATTTACTTATTTATTTTTGTAGTGCTGATGCTGGAACCCAGGGCCTTCCACATGCTAGGCAAGTTCTGTACCACCGAGCTGCACCCCCAGCTGATATTTTCCTACTTGATGTCTAACCAGTTCTCATAGCAGCTTTACGTTTTGCAGATCTGCGCCCATCCCCTTCAGAATGGACTTGTTTCAGTTCCAGTTCTGCCACGTGTGCACATATTTCACTTCCTTTATCTATAAAATAGGAACATGATAGTGTCTGCCTCAGAGGGCAGCTCTAGGAATTCAATGTCTATAAAACATTTGAGATAGGCTGGAGTGATGGCTCAGCAGTTAAGAGCATTGACTGCTCTTGCAGAGGGCCCAGGTTCAGTTCCCAGTATCCACATGATGGTTTATAATCATCCAAAACTCCAGTTCCAGGAAATTCAATACCCTCTTCTGGCCTCCTCAGGCATTGGGTGCACTTACATGCAGGCAAGACACTCATTACACCTAAAACTAATAAAAATATTAAAGGAAACGTTTGGTATAGTGTGTAGCCATGGTGATTGTCATGCAAGGGCTTGCTATCAGTAATATTCCAAGCTTATATGACTGACAGTGACAGTTATCTATTGAGCGGATAGTGTTCAGGCACTGGGACTCCCTCAATCAGTCCTTACAGCATTACTGGGAAGTATTTCATAACCATTATGCAGCTAAGAAAACTGAGGCTTAGTGAGGTCACAAGACTTGTCTGAGGTCTTCCTGGCACAAAACAGTGCTGGAATTTGGGCAGTGCTCTGTGTGTACTTTCCTAGTAGGCTAACCTTTTAAAATTCAATAAGGAAAGCAAAGGATAAAGAAAAACTAGCGTTCACTTCATCAGCGCGTATGCTAAAACTGGAGAGATAGAGAGAAGATTAGTAAGGATGACATGCAAATCCACGAAGCATTCTGTATTTAAAACTAAACTAAACTAAACTAATCAGCATAGAAACATGGACTTTCAGACTCTGGGAGCAAGAAGCTGCCTTAACATCTCCAGGGCAGCCTGCCCTTGCTGACCCCACTGCAGAGGACCAGGGGACATGACCTCCTGACCTGGACAGAAACATTTAGATAGTACTCAGAGCTAACAACTAACGAAAGCCACCCCCTTCCCACCTTCTTTGAGACAGGGTCTTTCTGTATCTCTACCTGGTCTGGAACTAATTATGTAGACCAGGGTGGTCTGCATCCCACAGAGATCTACCTGCCTCTGCCTCCCCAAGCGCTGAGATCAAAGGCGTGTGCCACCACACCCAGCTGAAAGCCTTTCTTGATATCCATTTTGGTTGAACTGGAATATTCAATATTTGTAAACTTGTGCATCCAACCAGCTAATTTGTTGACATGTTAACATAAGCAGTGTATTCCCTGAAGCCAGTGCTTGATCTAATAGCTCAACAGGAGGCTATGAACCAAGTCCCCAAAGAACGGTTTCCCTGATGCTCTGACTTAATTAAGGGCACCTTCCGGCCCTTTCCAGGCCGCAGCATGTTCAGATTTGAAATTCCATCTGTTTCCATGGGGTGGACATGATGTCAGGAGAGAGGGCAGTGTAGAAAGAAAAGGGTTTGTAATCAGCAGAGTAAATTCAGTCACTGTGGGCTCACTGCTAACTCCCTCATGCCCCTCCTCTGTGGGGACAGTTGTCTCTTTCTGACCAATGACATGCACACAGGATAAGGACATTTTCAGTGTCACATGTGTGACAGAGTTGAGGCCAGATGCCGAGTTCAGTGCAGTAGATTCTGGCTCTACAGCAGAGTTGGCATTTGAGCAGGTCTTGTAGGACACATGGTAGGGATAGAGAAGGCTGTACAGCCGAGGACACTACAGGAGCAAAGGCCTGGGGGTCTTGGGAAGGAGTCTGTCAAATATCTTCCCCTATACCTGCTGGGACGGGCCAGTTCATTGAGCTTGTGCCACAAGACAGCAGACCTGAGTGACCCAGGGTCACCTGGCTCAGGGACCGCTTCCTGTGGTAGAGGAGTGGGTATCTGGAGAGATGCTGGAAGGTCTGTCTGAGAAACCTTTGGCTGGAGATGAGAGAAAGACTCTGGGTGATCTTGACTAGGAGTGATCTTTCACTCTGCCCGCACCCACACATACATACAGACCCACGTATCCACACATCCTCACAGTCACACACTCATACCTGGCCTTGTAGGGTTGGTCAGGATCCCCAGCTCAGCTCAGGTATGGTCAGCTGTAGGAGTCTCTGGCCTGACACCACCTTCCCAGTTCCCATGATTTCTTAAATGGAAGATCAGGGGATGGTCTGCTCACTCCTACCCTCAGCTAAAGCAAGGGTGTGTGTGTGTGTGTGTGTGTGTACGAGAGCGCACTCTGACGCCCTACCACACCATCAGCCTTCAGGTGGTGAGGGTGCCTGCTATGCTGGAGCCCCAGGCCCTGCAGCCCCTCTCCTGCCACCCTTACCTTGGTCAGGTGCAGCTTCCCTCCAGAACCTCTGGTGCAGATGATGAGGTGCTTGGAGAACAGGAAGCACTGTCGCTCACCCTCTTTCTTCAGGGATAGAGACCCCAGGCGTCCCCTGGTGATCTTGCCCTTTTCTGACATAGGCACCTGGATGAGGGAACCTGCAGGTGGAGGAGGCCCTGAGCACAGCTGCAAGATAACACCGATGATGCCGCCCTCTTCCCCGGGTTTGAAGGCTGAGGTGACGGTGGCAGTGGAACGAGGCAGTTCAAATGCCCTGTCACTCCTTCCAGCCCCACTTCAGAGCCAGGTGATGGGGATAATCGGAGCTCTATACAGGACCCCACAACCTCCCAGCCAGAACCAGGGCCTCTCAAGCAAAGGGGCCCTTAAGGGAATGAAGAGCTGGACTGAGGTCAGGGAGTGTAGAAGCTGAACAAATGAGGCAGGCCCCGAGGTATTAGAAAGACATATTGCACACCTGTGGCTTTGGCAGACATCACCAATCAATAACAGCACTTAGCTGCAGAGCCCAGCATGGTGTGGCTTGAGCTCACCTTCCAGCATCTCTCTTCTCATCACTGTCTCCCTCCTCTGCAGCAAATGTCATCAGAGGCCAGAATAACTTACCTCTTTGGAAAGTCCTTCTGGACTCCCCTGCCTGCTCTGGGCTTGCTGCAGCAGGGATGTCTATCTGTGACATGCCCCTGCATTTGTTCTTTCTGCCTTTCTACCCTCTATCACAGTGGGCTTCTGCAGGGTGGGGCTAGCTCCGTTCTTTGGGGACCCTGGAGCCCTATGGAAGCCTGGTGCACACAGGGAATGGGTCATCTGTATTGACCCATTGGGTCATCTGTTGGCTGTGTGGCAGACAAGAGACAAGGGCTGATAGGCCCTGCCCCAGCACAGAGGATGAAACACTTTTAATGGGGCGATAAGGCAGATCCCTGGTCTGTGAGAACAGTGCTCACCCCAGGAGGGGCCACTTCCAAGCTAAACCTGTATGGGGCTTTCTTCAAAGAGGCCCAAGAGGCTACATGTGAATGCTTCTAGCATAGGACATGCCTTGTGTAGCTCAGGAGGACCAGGAGATAGGGAGGGTTGGCTCTGGGCTTACTGTGTCACAGACAGGCCTGGGAAAGAGCCTAGGGGCCACATGCAGGCACTGGGCATGAAATGCCATGGATACCAAGCCCTCCCCAAGGGTGGCAAAGACCAGTGTCAGCTGTAATGGCCCAGGGGGTGCACTCTGCAAGGTCATTACTAGTTAGAGAATAGAGTTGGGTAGTTAGGATGCTGGAAGTCTGTTCAGGGGCAGACACGAAGAGGCCAAGTGTCCTACAGAACATGGAAGCTGGATGAGGTGACTTTCATTACAGTGTAGCTTTGATGTCCTAAGCTGGGTGTTAGAACCCTGAGCTGCCAGGAGCTCAGCAGGCCATGCCTCTCAGACCACTACTAATGTAAACTGGGGCTGGAGGTGAGAAAACTTGTTACCATGAGAACCCCGTGGGCACAGCCTTCCCCTACACCTCTGGGAAACACCAGTCATTCCCAGGGCCTGTCACTGTCTGTCCTCCCCTCTGCCTCTTACTTTTCCCCCTAAAGGACATGCCGTTTAACACAGAACACCTAAGGCCATCGGGATAGAATCATATTTACACCCGGAGGGAGGGAACCATGAAACACTATCTGTGCGTGTGTGTAGCTCCTGCTTCCACATAGAGCCGTTGTACCTCACCAGCAGCCCAGAACACTCCACAATCTCAGTGGCAGCCCAACCCACTGGTGGTGTCCCTGAGTACTGTCCTCCCTTCCAAGGACCCCCCCCATGGGGTGTAGGGCAGATGTCCTACCTTGTCTCACGAAGGTCTGGCTGGTGTCCAGGAGGATCTCACAGCCCTCAATGATCATGCGCTCAATGGCCAGGTTTTTTCGGATATTCTCTGTCTCGCTGACTTCATCATGCATAATCCTGGGGGAACAGGAAGCAAGAGACACCATGCCTGCCTTACTTCCAGGGATGCTGGCTCTTTGGCCAGACTTCAGAAGGGCTGGCATGGGGATCCTCAGGATTCCTGTGGTTATGAGGGAAAGGGAATGGGCATCTATTAAGCACCTGTGTGTGCTGGGCACTTCATAGGCATTGTCTGGTTTTATCCTTCTTACAACCCAAGGAGCCAGAGGCTTTTTTAAAAAAAAATATAAGTGTATTGCCTGTATGTGTGTAAGTGCACCCATGTCATGCAATGCCCATGGAAGTCAGAAAAGGGTGTCAGATTCCCTGGAACTGAAGTTACCGACAGTTGTTAACTGCCATGTGGGTGCTGGGAATTGAACCCAGGTCCTCTGCAAGAGCAGCCAGTGCTCTTAACTGCTAAGCCATCTCACCAGCTCCCACTTTTAAAAATATTTTATTATTTTATGTGTATGAGTGTATAGCCTTCATGTAAGTGCACCCATGTGCAGTGCCTGCAGAGGTCAGAAAAGGGCATCAGAGTCCCCTGGAACTGGAGTTATAGATGATTATTAGTCTCCATGTGGGTGCTGGGAATCAAAAACAGGTCCTCTGCAATAGCAGCCAGTGCTCTTAACCACTGAGCCATCTCTCCAGCCCCTAGGTGCTTATTTTAGAAAAACAGAAATGGAAATTAGCAACTAGGAAGTAGGCTCGTCCTATTTCAAGGTCTAAAGCATGTGGCTTAGGTAGGTCTAGCCCAGAAGGAGGTGGGAGCTAGAGACATCCATGTTTATTATTTCACCCATAATCTCACTACCCCTGTTCCCATCCATAGAACAAGATCATAATTACCCCTGAACTCATTTCCTCAGACTCCTCCCACAACACAACTTCCTGGGGATTGACCTCAGGGTCTTAAGCATGCCAGTCAAGTGCTCTACTATTGAGCTATGCCCCCAGCTCTTTCTCCCAAATCAATCTTTTCTTTCTTTTCCTCTCTCCCCCTCTCCTTCTCTCTTCCCCTCTCCCTCCCCCGTCTCCCTCTCCCCCTCCCTCTCTCCCTTCCTTCCTTCAAGCCTCCTTTCACCTCCCCCCTCCCCCTCCCCCTCCCCTCTCTCCTTTGTGCACGTGGAGGTCAGAAGACAATTTCTCAGTGTCAGTTCTTTCCTTCTATTTATGTGGGTCCTGGGGATCAAACCCAGGTTATTAGGTTGGTAGCCAGCACCTTTACCCATTGAGCTATCTGGTCGGCCCCCCCACATCTTTATATGATTGCACCTTTCATGTTGCATAGGTCTGGAATGACTTGTGGTTTTGGAGCTCCTGGAAAGTCATCAAGCTCAGGGAAAGAATGGCCTTAAGCCGTCAAACATCTGCCATCTAGCTCTGAATAACCATCCCAGTTCTTACTGATGCAACACCTTTCCTGTCCGTGAGATGGCGCCATTCAACTACTTTGTAAAAAATAAGAGCCAGGAAAAGGCTATTAGTTGCCAGGGTTCTGCCATGATGGATTTCCTGGGTTTTTAGGAAAACAGTGAGTATTTTTGGGAATGGGGGCACCCTGGAAAAGTACCCCACCTACTTCAAGAAGAACACAACATCTTTTGTTTTTCTGCTGATTTCTGAAATTTTACAGTTAATGTGACCAACTGGACTGGTGACCATGTGTGCCTTATAAAATTCTCTTACAGACATTCTCTGGTTTAAACCTTAGCAGAGGGGACTCTGCTTGGGATGGCTATAAGATGAGTTGAATTAGTGCAATGCTGAGCCACACACTCTTTGATCCTTAACTTTTCATGTGTGGAATGCTGGGGTGAAGGTGGAACTCAGCAGTTCAAACCCAACTCTTCTGGTTTAGGACTCACGTTTTAGCTTAAACTCACTGGGCATGTAGACAGGCTCTCTTCTCTAGTAACCTCAGAACATCTGGTGAGGGTGAGGTTCTGCTGGGGAAGGTTGGATTCCAGAAGGCACGACTTTAAAGTGGCAGGCAGACTTGACAAAGGCAAAGTACAGCCGGTCAGGATAAGTTCTATCTCAGGCTTGGGCTGGTATTGGGGATCCATGTACTCACTTCCTGGGGGTCCTGGGAGCGATGATTTGAGTTATCAGTGACATAAGATAACAGGAATTCGGGATAAAAAAGGAGGGCAAAGGCCCGGTCCCTAGAGGGAGGTGAGGCCCCCCAAGTACACCTGGGTGTGTTGGAGGAGGTGTGGTTCTGAGCACAGTTGGAGGATTGGAGAACAAGGCCTGGTTAGGGCATAGCTGGGATGGGGATGGGAAAGGAGGCATGGTTCTGAGACCAGCTCTGCCTGGACTGGCTCTCTGGTGTCTGTCCCCAGCCAAGGCATTTTTCTCAGCTGCTCCATGGAGGGATAAAAGGCCTGTTGTCACTGAAGTGAGAAAATACTCTAAGGTGCCATTAGGGCTAGGTTCAAGGGGAAGATACAGGTGTTGGGTGGAAGGAAGAAAGAGCAGGATGCATACCCAGGATCCTGGGGGAAAAAGAAATCATGGTCTTTGGTCAAATATCTTGGCCTTTCTGCATCCCTCCAATGACAAAGGACCTTGGGGACGTCCTAGGCTTCCTCCCTGTGGAGGGAGGAGCATGTGGCATTTGTCTTGTGGGTATGACAGACAGAGATTTCTTCCTTCATGTCGACGGTTCTGCCTCTCTGCAGTCACACTGATACCACTTTTGCTTTTTCTGGTCCTCTCTCATGGCTCTGTAATTCTGCTGGGTCTCAGAGGTTCTGGCTAGGTTTGTCTCCTTCCTCCCCCCTGCCTCTCTAAACTAGCTTAGACCTGCCTGGCTGAAAGAAGCAGGTCACTGAGGGCCCCCACATGCTGCTGCCCTGTCTCTGACCACAAGGCTCTCCACCCAAGGGGGACACCCCCACCCCACCCCAGGGTCAATCTTGGGCTCTAGTGTTTTCCTGCTGAACTACTGTGGCAATCTCATAGAGCTGTGGCTTTAAACCCTGTCTTTGAACTGACAACTGCCCACAATTCCAGACTCCAGCACCCTACTCATTGGTCTCTTCCACTTGAACATTTAACGTCATCTGGAGTTCCATGTGCTCCCTAGGAAAGCTCCTGGCCTCCCCTCTTTACCCAATGTGAGTTAAGATCTTACAGCTCTGGAATTGCCAGTCTTTTTCTCATTCCCCCATTCAATCCATTAGGGAAAACCCACTGGCTCCACCTCTGAGCTCCCTTCACCACCTGAACCACTTCCACCTCCCAGCACCACCCTCATGAAATATGGTAGGGTTCCCCCTCCTTTCTCTACCCTTGCATAGGAAGACCCCTGCCCCCGCCTCTGGACTGCAAAGGACAAGAGGGCCAGCTGAGGAGCCTAGACTAGAGGGCTGGGGTCTCTGAAGTTGGATGAACCACAGCTTATCTACCTTCTCTTACCTCCTTCTGATGGGAGCCTGGACACATGGGAGCCAGTCACCTGGACCCCCATCCCTGGGGACTCTTAGCACCAGCCTTGCCCACTGTCTGCAGTGAGATCTGGCACTCACCTGGACAGCTCCTCAAGTTTGGATTTGGCGTAGTCCAGGCTGTTACGTTCTACATGTTCGTGGGGAGTGTGGGCCAGCAGCTCATGGAGGGTGAGGATGTACCTGGGGATCTGTGGGCAGCAGGGAACAGGGAACGTCAGAGCCAGAGAGATGAAGGACAGGTGGAAAGACAGACAAGAACGGGAGTTGAGGAGGGACAGGGCAAGGAGGAAGAGATGGGGATGACAGACAAGAGATGCAGGGGAACAAGGGAGAAGGACAGAAAGCAAGACTGAGGCAAAAATGGTCCTTTGAACCATGTGGACTGAGGTGGGAAGCAGGCTGCCCTTCTGATCTGCTTGGGAAGCCAGGAAGGAGAGGACCCCTGTGTGACTGTCTTCAGGAACCACCCCCTTGTCTTTCCCACTGCTGGAGTGGACAGGTGCATGAGTCATCAGCTTGCCTCCAACCTGCCAGGGTGATTGGGGCATGCACTAAGGTCTGTGTCCTCCTGGCTGTACCCTCAGTGTCCTGCCCGATTGAACCCTCAGTGCCCTGCCTGCTCCCTGGATGGCTGCTGTAGGCACCTGGAACATGGGGTAGGTAAGGAAGGTCTCTAGTGTGCGCTCCTCACAGTCGGGCTTGGCTTCATAGTGCTTGAGCAGCTTGTCGAAGTCACGGTTCTGCTTGCAGTGCGCCAGGATCTGGAGGCTGTACTGGTGGTTGCGGACAAACTCCTGGTAGATGTTGAGCATGGGCAGCAGGATGTCAAACAGGTCAGCTGCAGAGGGGGTGGTGTCAGTGGGCCAAGGGCACTCTGGGGCTATATGGCCCCAGGTCTTTAGCTCACCAGTCCACTCAGAGAGGCCAGGACCAGGTTTATAACCCAACTCCAGAGAGATCTCTCCTTGGGGGATACTCTGGTATTCTGACTCTACCCAGAACTAGAGGTAGGTTCAGTAGAGGCCCTGTTTTGAGTCACAGATGTTTAGTGTTGTGGGGTGTCTCCTGGCACCTGTGACTGGAGGAGTACAGAGAGATGGTGGAGAGTCCCGTATTTCCACGGGGCCTGTGTGCCATTACCTCAGCAGCAGGAGGGCTGGTGGCTGTGGCTCCTGGCTGGGTCCCACTCCAGGAACCATCCTCAGCCAAAGTGGCCTTGTGTAGGTCACACCCATTCCATGCTGGGTCCATGAAGATCCATCCCCTGCTTCAACTCAAAGAGTCTCTGCACGAAGCAGGGTCTCTTGTCTTTTGTATGTGTGTATGAGCATGGGTGTTCATATGTGTGGGTACACCTGCATGTGGAGGTGTATGTGTATGTATGGTTATACCTATGTGAGTATGCATGTGGAGGCTAGGGCTCAATCGTGGGTGTTGTTTCCCCAGAGCCATTCACCATTTTTTTTTTTTTACTTTTGAGACAGTTTCCCTGTAGCTCCAGCTGATCTAGAACTTGCTACGTATGAGGCTTCCCTTGATCTCAACAGAGATCTGCTAGCCTCTGCCTCCTATGTGCTGGGATTAAAGGAATGCACTATCACGTCTGACCCCACCTTGTTTTTTAAAGACAGGGTTTCTCACTGGTACCTAGAGCTCACCTGTTGGGGTAGGCTTGCTGGTCAGCAAGGCCCAGGGATGCACCTGTCTCTGCCTCCCCAGAAAGGGCTGGAATTACAAGTGTATACTACTGAGCCCAGCTTTTTTCATGGTTTCTGGGGACCGAACTCAGGTCCTCATGCTTACAAGGCAAGCAGGTCACTGAATGAGCAATCTTCCCAGCTCACAGAGCAGAGTCTTTGCCATGAGAAACACAAAGAGCGGAGGAGCCTGGAGAGTTGCATTGAGTTTGGCAGCACAGCCTTCTGGAGGTCAGGGGGACAAGGAAGCTGCAGCCTTTGACGTGCTTATGCCTTTGTTTTATAATTCTACTTTTGGAATCCTATCCCAAAAATGACCCTTAATATGGAAACAACTGAGTCTGCAGGGGTAATTATTTCTGACGACAATAATTTGGAACAGCTCTCAGAGCCAATGATAACAGCTGGTTGCTTGGATCATGGTCACATTCAGGGGCACTGGAGCATTATACAGTCATCAAAAACTTGGCATGAGAAAATGCCATATCTAGAATGTTAAGCTAAGAAATGTAATAATGCAGTGTAATAATCTAATGTGAAGCAGAATGAAATGCTCTGCTAGTGTGTAATATAAAACCAAAACAATACGGAGCAAGATTTAAACCCTCTAATTAACTATGTTTTCAGTTATGTAAAACTGGGAAAAGAAAACTCTCAGGGTCTCCGCATAGGGAAACATGGAGAGGAAATGGCAGTATTTGGGGGTGGTTATCTTACTTATTTTTATTTTACGTGTATGAGTGTTTTGCTTACAAGTAAGTGCACCCATGTCATGCAATGCCCATGAAGGCCAGAAGAGGGCACCAGGTTCCCCTGAAACTAGAGTTAAGGACTGGTGTTAGCTGCCAGTGGGAGCTGGGAACTTAGGTCCTTTACTAGAGCAGTCAGTGCGTTTAAACACTGAGCATCTCTCCAGCCCCTGGGGTGGTTATCTTTGCGGAGCAGAGGGACAAGTGACATTTTAAGTGTTTTTTCCAAGTTTCAGATGTTCTCAGGTAGCCATAAATGTGTGGGTTTTTTTTTTTTTTTGAAAGGGGAAGTGAACATGTAACTAGAAAGATATCATTTCCTCCTAGGATCATGATTACAGATTGGTCTTTCTCTTTTCCCAGGTATTCTGGGGTTTCAAGGGTGCCTTAGTCTGAGGATCCGGAAGGACAGAGCTGTCCCCTGCCTGAGGGCAGTGCCTGGGAAGGATTCCGTGGGGGAACCTAGGGGGCTGGCTACTCACCCAGGACCAGTGTGGGCCAGCTAGATATGCGGGCCTTCAGGCCTTGGTAGAAGATCTGATGCAGGAACATGATGGTCTCACTGAAAGAGAAAGCTCGGTGAGCTCTAGCCAGGGCCTTTCTGCCCTGCAGGGAGGACTCTGCTGAGCCCAACTGTGCCAAATGAAATTCAGGGCCTCAGTATGAACAGACTTCAGCGATAGTTACCCCAGGATGGAGAAACAGAGCATCAACCCATACATACTCCTCTGTGCAGTGGCCAGCTGTGCACATGAAGCCCTGACTTGTTGGGCCCCCTGAGATTGTGGAGGGACCTGGGGAGCATAGTAACAGCTGCTGTTGGTGGGAAGACACAGGGATTGGGACGCACAGGGCTTGGAAAGAGCCCAGAACTGACTTGGGCTCTTTTCTAGCTGTGTGTCTGTGAGCAAGGTACCTAATGTCTCTGAAGCCTAGGCCCTTCCTTCTGTGTGAGGTAGGAAGCTAAAATAAAGAACCCCCACCATACAAGGTTTCCTGGGTACCGAATACACAATAGACACTTAGCGGAAACCAGATCCCCCCAACTCCCACCCTATCCCTGGAATGCCTTCCTTGGGGATCTAAGTCAAGAGGCTAAAAGACCCAGAGTTCTGGGCTTGCTGAGGCCTGATTTTGTCACTGTGCAGCACACCCTGGGAACACGGTCTTGGTAGCCTAGCCATGGCTGGAAATGTTCCCTGAGTACTCCCTGGGGGTCACCTTGGCTTTGGCCCTTCCTTCCCTCCTTTGCTGCCTACTCCGCCCCAAGTGGCTGGCCCCAGAGCATAGCCTGAGGCCTCCATCCCAGGGCAAGCTATAGCCAAAGGGAACCTGAGTGACCGGTGGCAACGGCCACCTGAGGGCACTGTCCTTCCGCTTATTCTCTTTGCTCCTCTCTGCTCACAGCTGCCTGCTCAGTTCCCTCCACTGGCAGACCTGAGGACTTTGCCAACATGTAGGAGACCTTGGAACATACCCCATCTATGGATAAGGAAGCTGAGGCTCTGAGAGGGAGAGCCCCCACCCCGCCACCCAGACTCAAAGGTAGCCCTGGGCCTGTCTTTCCTTTTCTGGACTGTTCTCACTTTTCTTTGACCCATTCTCTAGGCTCTGCCCTCTGCTTGGCCTCCCTCCCAGAAATTTGTGTTCTGAGAGGGGTCTTGGTGTCCACACAATCTGAGCAGCACAATGGGCAGAGGGAGCAGCGGGCAGGGCCCAGGGACAGAGGACCTGAGAGGGTCTGAAAGGTCCTCTGCAGGGCAGAGAGTCAGGGAGGGTAGGAAGAAGTGGGGCTGGGAGGGAGAGAATGAGAGGAAGAGGAAAAGAGAAAGATGAGAGAGAGAGAGAGAGAGAGAGAGAGAGAGAATGACACCTCCATGTTCAATGGCTAAGCTGGCAGCTCCAGGGTACTCCACAGAGTGTACAGAAGGAAAGGAAACTTGAAAAGGTGAAGCCAGCAAAAACCTGAGAAGCTAAGGAGAGAACAGTTCTTAAGTTTTCCTCTCGGAGTGAGGATCTTGTTATATGACTTGTCTACCACCCTCTAAAGCCTCCCTCCAGGCACAGCATCTCACTAACAATGAAGGCAAGGCTGCTTTCCATCTGGTGTCTGCTTGGCCCTTGAATGGGTTTGCTGAATGGATACACAAGTACCAATTTTGAGAACTTCCCTTGGTTTCAAAATGGGAAAACCTTTCAACAACCAAGATACCGACTCGGGAGTGTGTGAGAGTGCCCAGAAGAAAGGCATCCAGTCTGCACTGGGGCAGTCTGGGGGCTGGGAGACTTTCAAAGGTTCTTAAGAGAACCACGTATCTAGATCCTGTCAGACAGTGTTGAGTGATGCTGAAGGCACACTCGGGGAGAATACTCAGGGAGTTCCTCTAGACATCAGAACATGTGTCAGGGAGGAGAGGAGCCCCCTTAAATCCCAATACTGCACAAGAGTGCACAGCCAGAAAGAGGGAACATGATATGGGAGAACTGTTAAAAAGCCTTGGAGTCATTGCAGGGTCAGGTCCAGACCACGAAACAAAGCAAACAGGCTAATTATTACAATTGAGTCACAGGAATTTCTCCACTCTGGCATATTAAAACTTCTATTTGCACTATTTGATAGATAAAAAGTAGCCGTATGACAAATAGTGTTGATCAGGAGAAAGCAGAGTTCATTAGCAAAGGAACACATGGGACAGATTCCCTTCTGGGCAGGGAAAACGTCTGCCCGGGTTGTGAGGTGGGGTCTTTTTTTTTTTTTTAGGTTTTTTTTGGTCTTTTTGAGACAGGGTCTCCCTGTAGCCCCAGCTGGCCTGGAACTCACTATGTAGACCAGGCTGGCCTTGAACTCACAGAGATCCGTCTGCCTCTGCCTCCCGAGTGCTGGGATTAAAGACCACGCCTGGCCTGAGCTGCAGTCTTTTTAAGGGGGAGGCTTCTGCTTCCTGCAGAAGGCAGGAAGATGTATTTTTTTTTTTAAAGTTAGGTGGGGGTGGGGGGGTGGAGTGGGAGAGTGGGATTGTTAAAACCTATTCTCTTTAAAGATCAAAGGGGAAGCCTGCTGTGTTGGCCAAACAGTGGAGAAAAGTCTGCTTCTCTCGACTTCAAAGATCAAGGTGCTTATCAGCTAGGTTCCCTTTTCTCAGGAGCTTGAGAAGTTCTTGAGACCCTGTTGGTGAGGGGGCCTTTGTGTGTGTGTGTGTGTGTGTGTGTGTGTGTATAAGCACACCTGTGTGTGCATGGCATGAGCTCATGGGCACATGTGCAGAGGCCAGGGGAGGTTATCAAGTACCCTGCTCTATCACACTCTGCTTGTTTTTTTCAGACAGGGTCTTTCACTAAACCTAGAGCTGGGCTGGTGACCGGCTAGCCCCAGCAATACTCCTGTCTCTGCCCCCAACAGTGCAGGGGTTATAGGTATGTGCAGCCATGCCTGTCAACAAGTTCTCATAGGTGCTGGAATTTGAACTCTCTTTATGCTTGTGCAGCAAGCATTCTTACTCACTGAGCCATCTCCCTAGCCTGAGTATGATGTATTAAATATGCACATATCCTAATTGAGAAACATTTCCTTTCTAAAAGATGCTAATGGTCACCTGAGCCTTCAGTGAACCAGTCTTTTGCTGATGGAAGGTCTTGCCTCAACACTGACAGCTGCTGACTGTTAGGGTAGCTACTGAAGTTGGGGTGGCTCTGGTGATTTCTTAAAATAAGACAATGAAATTTCCCAGATCCACTGACACTTCCTTTCAGGAAAGGTGTTCTCAGTTTCATAGCATTTTATCCACAGAACTTCTATCAAAACTAAAGCCCATTGCTGCTATTATCAGCCAAATTTCTGTAACATTCTAAATCCTGTGTCCTTTTCAGTATTTATGGTGTCTTCCCCAGGAGAAGGAGTCATGCAAAGACACTACCTTTGCTCATCTATAAGAAGCAATCAGTCAGCTTTATTCTGAGTTGCAACTCTTCCTCTTCTTCAGGCTCTGCCTCTAATCCTTGGCTATTTCCATTACACCTGTGGTGACCTGTCCTCGGATGTCTTGGATGTTTTAAAGTCACCTAGAAGAGTTGGAACCATCTTCTTCCAAATGCCTGTGGATGTTGGATATCTTGATCTTTCCTATGAAGCATGAGTGTTCTTTCTGGCATCTACAATGGTGTGTACTTTCCAGAAATTCTTGAATGAACTTTTCCCAGATCCATCAGAGAAGTCACTGCCTGTGACAGCCTTACAAAAATATACTTAGACAATCAGGTTTGAAAGCAGATTTGAAAGACTGATGCTCGTGCTGCAGAGTAGATGTTATGTTAGTTGGCAGAAAACAGCATTCACCTCACTGTACATCCCCATCAGAGCTCTAAGACGACCAAGTACACTGTCAGTCAGTGGCACTGTTTTGAACACAATCTGCCTTTTCCTAAGTGGATAGGTCTCAACAGTGGACTTCGAGGCTGTACACAGGTGTGCAGTCAATCAGGGTTTGTGGCTCCATTTACAGAACCCAGGCCAGGAGGATTCAGTGATTCTCCAGGGCCCTTGGAATTCAGAATTATAAATGGGCATGGCTTCAACTTCAAGAATCAAGTTAAGATTTATTTTTTGCTTATTTTTATTTTATGTGCATGAGTGTTATGCTTATATAGCTAAGTGCACCCATGTGTGCAGTGCCCACAGAGGCCAGAAGAGGGCATTGGATCCCCTGGAACTGAAGTTATGGATGGTTGTGAGCTGCCATGTAGGTACTGGGAACTGAACCTGGGTTCAGTTCTTACTGAACTCTGTAAGAGCAGCCAGTGCTCTTAACTACTGAGCCATTTCTCCAGTCCCAAGGTTTATTTTCATTACTTTAAATTATGTGTATGTGTGTATCTATGTGTGTGTGTGTGTGTGTGGGTATGTGTGTGTGTGTGTGGGTATGTGTGTGTGTGTGTGGGTATGTGAGTGCAGGTGCTTGTGGAAGCCAGAGGTGTAGGATCCCCTGGAGCTGGAGTTACAGGATGTTCTAAGCTGCCCAATACCAGTGCTGGGTAAGCAACAAGTTCTCTTAACTGCTGAGCCATCTCTCCAGATCTGGGGTAGGACTTTTAACTTCCTTCTAGTTGACTAACTGGTGTAAGAGACTTGGTTCTCAGGCCATTTGGGGTTCAGCATGCCTTCCTCATTGACTGTCATTTTTGCTTTTGATTCAAAACGAGATCATACCACTGTGTTTTGCTTACACACTCAGGGGCCACTGCAGTCACGGTTCCAATTTCAGTATTATTGTGTTTCAGGGGATAGGGAAGCCAGAGGAAAGTGAAAGAAACAGGGCATTGGCTGGTTGGCTGAGTAGCAGAACACATGTGGCATTTGTCCCATCAAGTCCACCATCCTATCTATCCCAAACAGGTAAATCACCATGGCAGAGGTCACTATCACAGAGCGGGACAACACAATAAAGTCTGAAATGCTGCAAGAATTACCCAAATGTGACAGAGATACAAAGTGAGCCCATACTGTTGAGAAATGACTCTGATGGGTTTGCACCATGCAGGGCTATCACAAACTCTACATTTGTGAAA